GAGGGAGAGGGAATGTGTGATGGAACTACTTTTTTACCAGGGAGGCAGGGCAGGCCTCCATAGAGGTAACCTCTAGCAAAGACAGGACGGAAAGAGAGCCAGGGTGGGGGTAGCCTCAGCCTGGCATTCCTGAGAGCCATATCCCATCAGGTCTTCATGCTGTGACCCTCCTGCTCCTTCTTCAGCATGCACCCCATCCCATGCGGGACCCCACTCTCTCCTCCCTACCAAAGACTCCCTGTAGGCCTGCAGCAGGCCATGGGAAAAGTGGAACCCTTGCTTTTGAAGTATGGGGGCTTCTTAGGAAGACCTCACCAACCTAGGGAGGGGTCAGGGAGACCAGGATACGGGGGCAGACATCTGGGACAGTTCCAAGAGAAAACGGGGCCAAAGTGGGGTGCAGTGGACTTTGCCTGGTAAACACCAGAAGCCACCAAGAGACCGATTATGCTGAGGGTCTTAGGTGTGGGGTGGATTAGCTCCTCTGGGAGTGAGATAGGGGAGGGAGTAACATAGGTAGGTCTGTACCTGTGGTGTTGGGGGTTGGGAAGGAGGGGTGACTACGTTCCAAAGGCCAGGTCATCTGGGCTTAGCAGCCAGCCTGCTATGAGGTGATGGGAGGAAGGGGGACAGAACCAGCCTCTCAGACACAGACCTTCCATCCTCTAGGGCAGGTGGTACAGGGGGCCCAAACTCTTCCTGGAGGGAGGGGCCACATGGAGTCAGAGCAAGGCTCAGATTACATCTCAGGTCACGCTTCCTTCCTTGCGTGGCCCATGGACTTTGGGCCTAAGTGAGCCAGCCAGCCTTGGGAGTGGCCCTGTAGTGATGGGGGAGGTAGTCACTTCTGTGCAACCTGTCACTATGTGAGGTACATGGACTCAGTTTCAGGCCCCGTGATGGGCTCACCAGTGCTGACCAGGATGGGGGTTACGTAGGATGGCTGGGAGAGTGGCAGCATCATGGAGGGGTAAGGACGCTCTGGTCAGAGCCCACTCCCCACCACTGAGGGCCTCTTTGTCTCTCTTCTGCAGTGATGGGTCATTCCCCTATGACTCTGTCCCTGGCAGCAGAATACCAACCAGCCTCCCGGCTCCCTCTCCGTGGTCACCACGGTGTGGGGAGTGACCAACACATCCCAGAGCCAGGTAAGAGCCTGTCCCACCCCAACTACAGCCCCTTCCAGGAAGGAGTGTTCCTCTTCCCATGGGACCCTCCCAGCTCTGTCTTGGAGACCTACTTTCAGGGCACACCCACTGCTGATGTCCTTACCCCAGAAGGGGTCCACACCCACCTCAGGAGGGCTGCTGTTGGGCCCGTGTGGACTGTCCCCATCCTTGGGCTTTCCATTAGGGGAGGGCATGTCTTTCGTCTGACTGGCAACAAGGGCTCTTGCCTAGCCTACATTTGCTCTGGTTGAATAAGCAGAACTTCCTGTGTGTTACTGGCTTCACAGCTCCACAGTCTGGGGTCTTTGACCAAAGTGACCTGGTTTAGATTCAAGAAGATACTGGATTTCAGCAAAATGGCCCCCCACCCAAACTAGCTCCCTAGTGAAGCCTGCCTCTGTCTCGTTCCTTCTTCTTTCCTCTATCCTCCCTCCTCTGCCAGCCTCTGCCTGCCCATGTGGAAGGCTCTGGACTGGTTGGTCACTCCCCAGCAGGGAGCCATTGTGCTTCCCAGGGTCTCAGGCCACAGCCTTGGTCAAACCCTCACCTCATTTTATCCCAGGCTGAAGTTCTAATCTCTGGGCTTCCGGCTTCCTTTCTGATCACTGTACACCCTGGAGATAATTCATGCCACCCTTCTTCCCCATAGCTGTACTCTGTTTCACTTTCTTCCTCCCTTTTCTCCATGTCACCTCAGGTACCAGCTTGGTGACAGCCACTCTCTCTGTTCAACAGGTTCTCGGGAACCCTATGGCCAATGCCAACAACCCTATGAATCCAGGCGGCAACCCCATGGCGTCGGGAATGACCACCAGCAACCCCGGCCTCACCCCCACAGTTTGCAGGGCAGCAGCAGCAGTTCTCGGCCAAGGCTGGCCCCGCACAGCCCTACATCCAGCCAAGCATGTACGGCCGGCCAAGCTACCCCGGCAGTGGGGGCTTTGGGGCCAGGTGAGCAGGGCAGCTAGGGTGGCAGCTGTCAGCCTGCCTTCCTACCCCCATGTGTGAGGGTCCAGTTTAAATCCCAGCTCCATGGTGCCTGGTCTGGGAAGTATGGGCAGCACTGTCTTTGCCTTGGTGGCCTATCAGTGCTAGGGGATTAGACACTGCTGTGACTGACATGGTTTTGCCCCACAGGGGCAGCAGGGTGACACTCTCACTCCTCAAGTGCCTTATATTCACAAATTGGAGACGGAGAGAGCTGGATCAGGAGATCTGAAGAGCAAGGATAGTGGGCTCTACTTGCCCAAAGCTGGTTAAGCATCCTGGGAAGGGCTCCCTGCCTTGCTGATCCAGGAAGAATGAAGCAGAGATTAAAGTTCCCAGAGTTCAGGAGGAGGGGAGGAAGTGACAAGGAACCCCAGGGAGAGGTCCAGGGTATGGAAAGGGCAGAAGCAAACCAGCCATCCTCTTCTTTGTAAGCTGCCATGTTGTCCTCTGCCCTGCCCAGCTCCTGGACCTAACCAAGCCCCACTAGGTTTCTGGCCTGGTGGCTAAACACAGGTGGCACATGCCTAAAGCTGCATCCGAAGCTCTGTATGTCACGCTGGACAAGGTATTCAGGTGTTCTGAGGTCAGTGTTCTCTAGAAATGAGCTGGCCAGGTGGCCAAGGGCTCATAGTGGCACCACCAACTCCTGGTCATCACTGAGTGGCACAAATGGCTTCCCACCTCAGGAGTCCCTTGTCCCTTCTGGGCTCTGCATATAGGTGCCTCACACACTTGATCTGGATGCAGAGAATGCCTAGGTACAGCCCCACCCTCCCGCCCAGCTAGACATGGGCTCATCTCTAGATTCAGGTTCATCTCTAACTCTTCCCCCTTCTCTCTCTGCAGTTACCCTGGGGTCCTAACGCCCCCGCAGGCATGGGCATTCCCCCCACACCAGGCCACCTGCTGACTTCACTCAGCCAGCAGCAGCCGCAGCAGCAGCTGCAGTAGCAGCAGCAGCAGCCACAGCCACAGCCACGGCCACGGCCACAGTGGCAGCCTTGCAGGAGACGCAGAACAAGGATATAAACCAGTACGGACCGGTAAGGGTCCCTTGTTCCTGTCCACCTGGGCTGACAGTCTGGGGAAATCTGTTGGGGTAGGCGCTCATGAGGCTGCGTGTGCAAGGCAGATGATGTCTGGGTGCCCTGCATTTAGGATGTGGGTGTGGCATTGTGGTTGGGTACAGCAGGGGTATTTGGGCACTTATGTTCTGCATGGGTTTGGCAGTTCGTGTGCGCATGTGGGGTAAAAGGTTCAGTATTGCTCTCTAGGCCCCCAAATCATCAAAGAGTGAGCTCAGTTCCCAGCCTGTCCTGTAATCGCCTCTGAGGCCAATGTGATCCTGTTACCCACGCTATGGGCTCTGCCCCAGCCCCAGAGCAGCTTCCCAGACCTTCAGAAGGATGGGGGTATGTGACAGGGTGTCCCCATATCCATTGCAGGACAGGTGGCACAGAGCAGGTGGACAAAGCACACTTGGTAGATGGAGGATGTGTCTCCATTAGCTGGGAACAAGAGCAGGGCCAGGAAAGGGCTTCAGCCTCATCCTCATCCAACTCCCTGTTCTCTGTCCCCCCAGGCCCCTCCTCTCCCCACCCTTGTCCTCTGCCTGCCTTCCTGGAAATGCTGCCTGTGCATTGGAGTGACTGCTCCTCCCCACCCCACCTGTAATACCCCTAATACCAGCTATATCTCTCCTTTGTGGCCTGCAGAGGACAGCAGTGAGCCCTGCAGGACAGGGCCCCTAGGGCCTGGTCACCAGAGGCAGCCACACAGGAAAGTGTCCTCTCCCCTTACCCCACCCCCCTTTCCTCCCTGCACTTTCAATGCATGTGGCATTTTATTCTTTTTTTTTTTTTTTTTTTTTTTTTTTTGTTTTTTTTCTCTTCTCCTGTTGAAGGTCTGTTCCTCTTTCCAGATGGGTCCCACCCAGGCGTATAACAGCCAATTCATGAACCAGCCCGGGCCTCGGGGGCCTGCTTCTATGGGGGGCAGCATGAACCCTGCCAGCATGGCAGCTGGCATGACGCCCTCAGGGATGAGTGGCCCTCCCATGGGCATGAACCAGCCCCGGCCACCTGGCATCAGCCCCTTTGGCACACACGGGCAACGGATGCCCCAGCAGACCTACCCAGGCCCCCGGCCCCAATCCCTTCCTATTCAGAGCATAAAGAGGCCATACCCAGGAGAGGTGAGTGTGGGAGCAGGTGGGAGGCAGGAGGGCTGGCCTTGAAGACACTGGCTGTGGGCAGTGCCTTGGAAAGGGCATGGTTTGACCACTAGAAAACCTGGACCAAAAGGTTGGGGTCTTGGCAGTCAGAACTTCTGGGTTGGCTGCCTGGGGGATGAAAGTGAGGGGATGGCATATAGCTGCCTTTACTGTTCTCTTCTGTCCTGGATGACTTTGCATAAATACTAAACTCAGAGGCTTCCCCAGCTTCCCTTCCAGAGTAAGAGCTGAGACAGTGCCCTCTCCACAAAGTTGTATATGTCAGGGGAGTGATCAGGGACAGGCACCTAATCCCTGGGGCTCATCTCTGTTACCTGTCAGTTGCCCTGTCACAAGGGCCGCCACCTCTTGAGCTGCCCAGCCAGCTCAGCTGAGGTGTTGGGGAGGATTGGGGAAGTAAACTCCATACCTCCTGACTCAGGGACCCTCAAGGGAACAATGCCCAGTGGGCTGTATGGAACTCAATGAGAGGTTAGGGAAGGAAGGGCTGTCACCAGGCTTCCAATGACACTCAGAAAACAAATTGGCAACCACTGGCCCATCTGGGTACCCAAGTAAAGACTTCGTTCACCTGAGAAGACACCGGATCCCCAGAATCCTGACCCACCAGGGCCCTAGAATCGTGGAGCCTGCTCAGTTGCTCACCCCATAAAGTACCTTCACAACCTGCCCCCGGCTTTCTGCTTTTCTGTTCCCATCTGGCCTCACACTGTGGCCTTTAGCTTGGGTTTTAGTGAGTTTTGATACCAAAAACATAGGTTCCTTTGTGGGGAGTGGATAAAAACCTAGGAGAACTGGACACGAGCAAGGCGAGATGCAGTTAATTGCTTTTACCTATAGGCCAAATAGGCACAGCCCTGGCCACAAAACAGGGAAAGGCAGAAAAGCTGTGTCTCCTAAGTTGCATTCAGAGAAGCAGGAATGCAGGTTTCTCCTGTTGCAATGTCACGCCCCTTCCCTGCTCCACCATGTTCTCTGCGGTTTATAGAAGACCCCTGAAGGAGGAAGAGGGACTTTTGCTTGGCTTTTTGCCTTTTGGGCTTTTGCTGGGCTTTTTGCTTTAGCTTTGGGGAAGAAGCTTTTACTTTGGGCTTTTTGGTGTAGGAAGCTTTTGGAAGGGAAAAGAATTGCTAAAGGGAAAATGCTAAAGAGGGGTTGATAGAAAGTCTGCACTGAGAACTTTAACGTAGGCTTCAGAAAGCATAGCTGAGAAAGAACTTCATACATAGGCCTTAGGAAAGCTAAGCTAAAGAAAAGCCAAAGAGAACACAGGACAGTGCACAGTGCAAGTCTAAGGACCAAGACCTTAAGAGTTATGCACATGCAGTTTTTAGGTGGGGCTATTGGTTTGCAAGTTTGAGCACCAGGCTTTGAGAGAGCTAAAGAGAGATGAGACAGTGCAAGCCTGGGGCAAAAGACTTTCAGAGCAATTAAGCTAAAGATAAGCTGAGAGCAAACATGCGACAGTGCGAGCCTAAGGAAAGAGGTTTTAAGCAAGGTTTTAAAGAGCTGTAAGGAACAAGGCCTTAAAGAATCAAGAGAGAAAAAGAAGCAATGAAGGTTATGTGTCTCCACCCAAGCGCTCAGCACACCTGACTCCACTGTCTGTCTGTCTATCCTGTGTCTTTTCTGAAATCTCCAGTCGCCCCCAGTTAAGCCCAGTTAGGTCCAGTAATAATAACCAGGGGCGAGAGAAAAAGCTCGTTCTAACAAAGGAGAGAGTGAGAAAACAGCGCCCCCTCCATTCCTGGAATGTCTGTGCCCACCTTAGTGTCTACCCTAGCACAGGCTGACTGATGGAGGTATCCTGAGTCCAAGAAGGGAGAGGATCAAGGGTGAGGAACCAGAGGCTTTTCTAAACCTACAGAAGGCTGAAGCAAGCCCTGACCCTCTACCTAGTTGGTACCAGCTCAGGGAGGGGAGTTCAGAGAAGAACTGCATGCCTCCTCCCAGCCCTGGCTGTCCTCAGGGACCTTAAGCTGCTGGCCTCCCTTCCGGATGCATGCCCCACGCAGTTTCTGGGCCATCTTCTCAGCCCCTTCTGCATGCAAATCCCAGCACCCTCATTGGCTGCACAGGGGATGGATCTGCAAGTGAGCCATGCCTAGCCTTGGCTGCCACGACCAAGAGAGGCAACCTCAGATGAGGCTGCAGCAGAATTTCCTGTCATAAGCATCAACCAATGCCAGGCTCCCAGCTCTTGCATCCCCAGAAGGCTCACCAGGCTCCCGACTCCTCTTAAAGGGAGTTGTGCTTCCCAGCTATGAAATGCCTAGTCCCAGGCTGGGATGCTGGGTGGTCACTGTCTGGGAGTCTGGCCTGGTAGGCTGGCAGACAGGTGAGAGAGAGAGAGCTGTTGCACAGAGCAGCCAGTGTATCCCACAGTACGAGTTATGGAAAGTCCCTAGTGCTGGCCACTCGTGTGTTATGCCAGGCACTGGAGTGCAGTCATGGACTGTACCTGAGCCTAGAGGACAAGAGACACTTAGATGAGGAGTGTCAACACAGGATGGCATGTCCTGGGTGTCTATGGCAGGTGGTCCTGAGAGTCACCTGATATTCCACACAGGGAAAGTGGTTGGAAGTGACACTGTCTTTCTCTGAATCACCTCTCTGGGAGGGGTTGTCTTGCCCTTCATCATCCTGTTCTCAGCCTCTATATGAATGGCAGGTTGCAAGGGCGTGGGGCTGGACACTGGAGCACAGGGCCACTGCCATCAGAGTCACCCTCAGAACACAGAGTGCCATCCTGTGCCCTCCATGTTCCTGTCGAGTTGGGGTACACAGTGGAGAGAACAGTCTCGAAGCAAGCACTAGGGGACACAAAGGCAAGCTTTAGAATTGAGCCCTGTCAAATGGTCTGGCACTGCAAATGCCCTAGGTTTCCAAGGTTGTCTCCTGCAGAAGGATAGCCTCACAGGTCCCTGGATGCCAGGGCAAGAAGGAGCACTCCCCCTTTATGGGTGGGGAGGTTGTTTTGTGGTAGAAGACAGCCAGGGCCCAGGAGAGCAGCTGAACCCAGTCCTGGAATCTGAGTGAACAGCTTGGCTATGAGATGTGACAACCTTTCCTCTGACTTCACAGCCCAACTATGGAAACCAGCAATATGGACCAAACAGCCAGTTCCCCACACAGCCAGGCCAGTATCCCACCCCCAACCCCCAAGGCCACTCACCTCTCCCAACTACCCTGGGCAAAGGATGCCGAGCCAACCCACCACTGGGCAGTACCCACCTCCCACGGTCAACATGGGGCAGTATTACAAGGTGAGTTCCCAGAGGGGCACCCCAGACCTCTCCTCACCACTAACATCTGTACCCTCTCCTGTGTCCTTCCAGTCCTGTATGTGTTCCCTGAAGACCCCAAGGGGCAGGGGGAAATTTCTGGTTTTTCTAAAGCATCGGTGATCAGGAAGGCAGACTGGCTTTTCTAGGTTCCTGTTCTCATGGGACTTGGGTGTAGTTTTCCTTCTCCTTATTTACTGCACAAGCAAGATAATAACAATAAAGGGAGTATAATTTTTTAAAGAAAAAATTTATATCCTGAATATATTAACATTTTATTCTAAACTGTGTCTCTTCATGCAGATGAGCACAGACATGTTACAAAACTGCTATTAGAGTTGTAATGTTGAATCTGGTTTTTTTTTTTTTTTTCACTTAATCTGAATTTATAAGTGCATTACTTTGTGCTACAATGTCTCTGTAGTTGTCACTTTTAACCCCGTGCCTAATACTACACAGAGATCAGGGTACCCTAGTTTACCCTTCTGTATGTTGGATATTTGAGTTGTTTCTGACTTTACTTTGGAAATTATATTGGAAGGATATCTTCATGCTTTTCCTTCTCGATTATCATGAAACACATTCTCAGGAATGAAGAAAATGCTTCACAATTTTACCTTTACTTATCAAAAAACCCAGCCTCCTGACATGAGGGTTTGCCATTTTTGCCCTGACTTTGGCACACTAGGCATTGCTATTTTTGTTGACTCATTCGCTAAGTTAATAGCTATGGACAGAGAGAGGCAGACTGTCCCCTAGATGCCCTGTTCAACCCCTTCCCTTTCCCACCCTGGCTCTGGAGTCCCCTCCTCAGTCTCCTCTCCCAGGAGGGAGTCAGGCTGTAGGGGGCTTTTCTGCACTCCGCTCATCATTTTGCTTACCTTGTTTCAACAGCCAGAACAGTTTAATGGACAAAACAACACGTTCTCCGGAAGCAGCTACAGTAACTACAGCCAAGGGAATGTCAACAGGGTACGTACCACTTTAGTCTTAGAAATTCCAGTCTTTGCACAGTTGTCGGCAGGCTCAAAGGGTCCTCGCTTTGCTGCCCTAGCCTCTGGATGTTCGTGGGAGTCCATAGGTGGGGGGGTACACTTCCTGGTCATGTGCTCTGCAGTGCCAGATACCTAGGATAGAGTCCACAGCTCTAGTAGGTGACCAAGGACAAGTGCGGGCCTAAGAAAAAACAAGGCTAAATCAGAGAAAGAAGAGAGGGGCTTCTGGGGTCCAGAGACCCTAAGGGAGGATCTGGAGGTGACCTGGAGTCATAATGTGAGAGGCCACCTGACTAGTCCCCGCTCTCCTCCCCTCCAGCGTGGATTAGACAAGTCCCCTGGTAACCCTGACCCTCAGGGTGCTCCTTGGTCAAGTGAGTGTAGAAGTATGCCTGCATCTGACCTTGAAGGGGCTCAATGGTGTGAAACCCAGTGAAGGGTGAGGGTTTCTGCCCAGGCCACCTATCTTCCAAAGGGAGCAGGGGTCAGCAGGACAGTGATTTTCCTGGGGAGATGGTCCTCCCTTGGGGAGTAGCCCTAGGTAGAACACTGGAGCATGTGGGGTGTCCATCCTCGACCAGGACCCCGTCTGTCCTTGTGACCCCATAACCTATCTGCTGCTTCTCTTTCCTCCAGCCTCCCAGGCCGGTTCCTGTGGCAAATTACCCTCACTCGCCTGTTCCAGGGAACCCACGCCCCCCATGACTCCTGGGAGCAGCATCCCCCCTACCTGTCCCCGAGCCAAGATGTCAAACCACCCTTCCCACCTGACATCAAGCCAAATATGAGTGCTCTGCCACCGCCTCCAGGTGAGGGCTGCACACCCTCCCTCCCTCTGCAGTCGACTCCACTCAGAGCCAGGTGGGAGCCTGGCCACCTGTGTGGGGCATGCAGAAGGGGCAGTAGCACCACCAACAGGGAAGCCCCATGCGGAGGGACATTTAGGGTGGGGGGCTGAGTTGTTCACAGTTCACCTGGGTGGTGGAGGTTGGGAGGGACCAGCAGGAAGAGCCTGGGGCTTCTAGACAAGGCCAGTTGGAAAAGAGGGGATACCTGGTCCTCCTGGGGCCAGGCAGGCTTGAAGAAACCATGGGTTCCCCGGTACACTTGGACATGGAGCAGTTTCTGTGGCTCTGGCCTGAATCCTGAGCATGCAGCCCAGGATAGTGTCACGTGGTGCCATGGGGCCTGTGACTCATCAGCCCTGTCCCTCTCCAGCCAACCACAATGATGAGCTGCGGCTCACATTCCCTGTGCGGGATGGTGTGGTGCTGGAGCCCTTCCGCCTGGAGCACAACCTGGCAGTTAGCAACCACGTGTTTCACCTGCGGCCCACGGTTCACCAGACGCTGATGTGGAGGTAAGAATCGGGGAGTGGGAATGATGGGGGCTCAGGGTGTTGGGGTGGGTTTTGATTAGATGATTCAATATGAGTAAGCAATATCTCTAGGGTGAAAGAGGAGAAGTGAGGCAGGGAAAAGGCAGTGGCCTGTGTGGATTTCCCAGGGACTGAGGGATGATGGTGCACTTGTGGGGGGAAGCTCTCAGAGCTGAGCTGAGCCTGTCCTGCCCCACTGGCTCCAGGTCTGACCTAGAGCTACAATTCAAGTGCTACCACCATGAGGACCGGCAGATGAATACCAACTGGCCGGCCTCTGTGCAGGTCAGCGTCAACGCCACGCCCCTTACCATCGAGCGAGGTGACAACAAGACCTCACATAAGCCGCTGCATCTCAAGCACGTGTGTCAACCTGGTCGCAACACCATCCAGATCACCGTCACTGCCTGCTGCTGTGTAAGTGTGGCTGGAGGGTGGGCAGGGTCGAGAGTGTCATTATCTGATCACCAATCACTGGGGCCTGAGGTACTGTCCCCCATCCCCAGCCATCAGCCTCAGATTCGCCTTTCCGCTTTCACTCTGCACCTCAAGCAGCCTCCATACACCTCCACTTTTTTCTTGGCCCCTCCCCAGGCACCTGTACCCATTTTGGTGAAGTTCTGTGTCCCTCAAAGCTATGATCTGGTCTCACCTCATTTGCATGAAATTTTCACATTCTAACCACCTTTGCCTCCAGACCTACCTCCACTAAATTTGGAGTTAATCCTTTCCCTTATTCACTCAGCCTATTGTCTTAAGAGGTGTGTGTGTGCACGCATGGGTGTGCAGGCTTGTATGCCTGCCCCTTCAGCCCATGACTCACTGATGTGGGACTGCGCCTCACCTACTGTCCTTTTCCTAAAGGTCAGGGTCTGACACGCAGGGTTTTTTTGGGAAGCTTGCATAGAATGGAAGTAAATTGCCTGGCCTGTTCGCCTGGCCTATCTGGAGGACCCAGAAGGAAAAGCTCTGGGTCTGCCCTTGCAAGAGGTGGGAGTCACAGGACCAGGAAGGCTATGCAAGGCTACACAGCTATCAGTACGAAGAGCCTGGTCAGGGCAGTTGAGGTGTGCAGTCCAGAAGTGTTTTCCAGAGAAGAGATGGCAGGAATGAGCCCTCTAACAGGAAGAGCTAAAGACCCATGATGGAGGCAGTGGCAGGAGAGGTTAGGAGGTGGGCTGGGCTGTGTCCCATAACCTCATCCAGGAGGCATTTCAATGTTAAAGCCCACCTTGTCAGCCTGGAGCAGAGACCCTTTACCAGAGGACTAGCCTATCAGTCCCAGGACACATTTTGGCTCTCACCACTGTAAGATTGCAGGGGCCTTTGAGCCTGAAGCAGCCGGGGCTAAGGAAGCTACAGGTGGGGTGGGCACAGGAACCTGGGCCGGGTCTGAGCCCACTTCTGCTTGTCTCTGCAGTCCCACCTCTTCGTGCTGCAGCTGGTGCACCGGCCCTCTGTGCGGTCTGTGCTGCAGGGCCTCCTCAAGAAGCGCCTGCTGCCCGCCGAGCACTGCATCACAAAAAGTGAGTCAGGGCTCGGAGTGCAAGGCTGGGTCTGAGAGGTGTATGTTGGGGGTGTCATGGGGCTGTATGCAGGTAGGTGCTCTATGCAGCACTTGAACTCCACCAGGCAGTTCCATTTCTATTCCCAGGCTTGCAGAGTTGAGTGCAAAAGCACCTGAGGGGCTTTTTGCTGACCCAGTAAATCAGAGAAGTGCCAGACTGGGTTTCTGCAAGCTTTGCAGAAAGCCACCCGCTCCCTCCCATTCTTAGCAAAGGCGGAGCCTGTTCTGCAGAGATCAGGGAGCTGTCTTGTCCCCTCCTCAGTCACGTGCACTCCACATATGTCACATGGAGATTGCTGTTCAGTGTGGGGTCTGAGGAATGAGCTCCATTTTGAACCTCCTCAGTGTTTGAGTATTTGAGGAGTGGGGGGGAAGAACCAGAGCATGTTAAAGAGCATGTACAGACCGCCCCTCTGAAGGACCCTCCACCCACTCACCTTACCTGCCTGTGCCTCCCATCCCACAGTCAAGAGGAATTTCAGCAGTGTGGCTGCCTCCTCGGGCAATACAACCCTCAACGGGGAAGACGGTGTGGAGCAGACAGCCATCAAAGTGTCCCTGAAGTGCCCCATCACATTCCGGCGCATCCAGCTGCCTGCTCGAGGGCACGATTGCAAGCACGTCCAGGTGAGTGTCCCGGGAGCATCACCTGGAGTCTGGTGAGGAGGGGGAGAGGCAGGCAGAGGGGCCAACAATCCCATCTCTGGCCAGCAAGAACTGACTTTACTCACTCCTTCAGCCATCATTTCTCCTTTGGGATCCATCTCTGGATGCCCAGGAGACTACAGAAATGGGATTAGATAGTCCTTATTCTGGAAGATGTCAGAGGCTAGCTGGTAGGGGACATGGAAGCAAGGGTGTCTCGGTCTGGCTTACTACTGCGTCCAGGGCCTGGCCCCAAGCAGCTCAGAAAGTGCTGTGGGAATGAGTGATTGTCACAGTCTGCGTAGGTTGTGGCAAAGTTCTGAAGAAAACAGGCAACCCAGGCTGGGAAGCATTCATTGTGTGGGGGCTGATCTGGGCTGGTCTCCCACACAGGGAGTGAGGAGCCACTCCTGCCAGAACCTGAGTGTGAGCATCCTCAGGGGCCTAGGGCCAGCCCCTGAGCCCCGCTATCTAGCACAGTTTATCCTGAGGGCCACATGGTGGACAGAACTCCCTCCCGGGCCTGCCAGATGATGGGGTCATGAACTTGATCAGATTTGTCCTGGGTCCCTGGGCTGAAGGGGTGGTGGCCAGAGTCTACCCTGCTGCTGGCCTTATAGCACAAAAAACAGTGAGAGCCAGCTGGAAGGGAGGACCAGGAGGGCTCCTCAAAGGACATAGGCATGGGGTCATTTGGGGCATGGAAAGCTGATGTGAGGGATTTTGGTAGAGGTACCGGGGACTAAGCATGATTGACTTGCCTTGTGAGCAGCCGAGAGGTGGCGTGAATTTCGCTCCGCCCTCCTTCCACCTTGATAGGGATGTCTTCTTGAGGGTCCCCAAGGTGTAGTAAGGCAGTTTCTGATAGTCCTGGTTCACCCTCCTGTTGTCTGTCTGTCTCTGGCTTCTGCAGTGCTTTGACCTGGAGTCATACCTGCAGCTGAATTGTGAGAGAGGGACCTGGAGGTGTCCTGTGTGCAAGTAAGTGATGCCCACCCCAACAGGGGCTTCCCCACCTGATCACAGAGGGGAGGAGCCATTTGGCTTCCTCCTGGGAATCCAGCCATCTCCCTTAGCCCTGAATACAAAACAGAACCCAAACCCCCTACAGGTGCACTGCTCCCTGAGCTCTGGACAGCCCCTTAGTACTGCCCAGTCACAGAGCACCCTCTCTGTGCTGCCTGCTGTACAGTAGCAGGGGAGGGGCTCACCACAGTAGGGAAGGATGGAGGGATGGGCTGTGCCCTGCATGGGCCTAACCCCACTCTCCTTTTCCAGTAAAACCGCTCTGCTCGAGGGCCTAGAGGTGGATCAGTACATGTGGGGGATCCTGAACGCCATCCAACAGTAAGTGGGGCCCCGACTGGGTTGGAGGCCACTTCACTGGCCAGGCTATCAGACCACTGACTACCCCTTCACCTCTCTGCAACCTGACTTTGGGAGTTTCTGTACCTGGGGACAAATAAACGTTCCAAAACGCATAGAACTCAGCCAGAGCAGGAAGCCAGCAGTGCCCTGCTCTGGGAGGGAGGCCTCAGTACCAGCTGCTCCAAGGCCAGCCCCTTGCTTCTCCTAGCCTCAATTTCCCCATCTCTTAAACAGAGATGTAAGCATCCCTACCAGGCCTCTCTCCTGTGCACAGTGGTGAAATGGGGCAGGGGGTCTCTGCGTGGGCCTCTCGTCTCCAAAACCAGGCACTCCAGAGCCTCAGCTCAGCCTCCATTGCTCCCCCAGCTCTGAGTTTGAAGAGGTCACCATAGACCCCACATGCAGCTGGCGGCCAGTGCCCATCAAGTCAGACCTGCACATTAAGGACGACCCTGACGGCATCCCCTCGAAGAGGTTCAAGACTATGAGCCCCAGCCAGATGATCATGCCCAATGTCATGGAGATGATTGCTGCCCTGGGCCCTGGCCCCTCCCCATACCCACTCCCTCCTCCCCCTGGGGGCACCAACTCCAACGACTATAGCAGCCAAGGTGGGTGTAACTGGAGAAGAGGGAGGGAGGAGGGTAACCCAAGTCCAGTGGGGCTCCAGATTTCTGTGCTGATGGGTGGCAGGTACACAAGGCGGGAAGGAAGTAGCAGAGGTGATACACCCCCAAAACACAATCCTCAGGTCACTGGACTTGAGGAACAGTGGGCTAAGCCCAGGGGCTTCAGAGCTGTTCTGTTGTACCGTGTTTGCCTCTCCCAGGCCCTCTAGTGTTTTTCTGTGACATCTTTTTTTTTTTCACTGTCCCTCCAGTTCTTCCATCCTCCCAGAAAGAGTCCAGACACCTGGATTCCCAGCCTTTGGTCTCCCAGGTCACCATCTTTGGCTCTTACTCGCTACTGGTCAAACCAAAATTTACTCCCCTACCACTTGGTTCCTAGAAAATACCCCACCCTCAAATGTGGCAGCTCTCCCACCAGCATCTCTGGACATAGTTCTCAGGGCTCCTAGTTTATTAGTGGCCCAGAGACATTAGTCCAGTCCCAAGGGCCCCAGCATCTCAGTGAGCTGACCCTCTGAGCCTCACCATCGCCATGGGGTAAAGGACGCAGTGGCTAAAGAGGCTGGAGAGCCCTTCCCTATCAGTATCATCATAAGCCTGGGGCAACTTTCTTTATGGACTCGTAGAAGAGCTTCTGGCCTGGGTCTCCCAGTTATAAAATGGAGCCTAGGGAGAAAGAGCCCAGCAGCTCAGGTTAAATGCTCAGACTTGGCTTTATTTCATGTCCTCTCTCCAACAGGATCTAGCTGTCCCCTTTCCCGCTCAGTACTAGTAGAGCAGCACACGTCCTGGGATGCCCTGGCCCACAGGACGAGGCCATATTGCTGCTCCATCATCTACCCAGAAGCCTAAGGCTGCAGGATCCTTGCCAGCCATGTGGGAGGGACAGGACTTGACTTTCACATTGCCTGTTCCCTGGGGGGCAGCCACCTTCCCTCTGGGTGACACCCCCATCCCCAACTCATTTCCTCCCCAGGCAACAACTACCAGGGCCATGGCAATTTCGACTTCCCCCACGGGAACCCCGGCGGGACATCCATGAACGACTTCATGCATGGGCCCCCCCAGCTCTCCCACCCCCCAGACATGCCCAACAACATGGCCGCCCTCGAGAAACCCCTCAGTCACCCCATGCAGGAAACTGTGAGTACCTCCTGTCAGTCCCTCAACCTCCCTATGGCCTCACTCCCAGCCTGTCTGGGGCTGTTTGGGGCAGAGGGCTCCCCTTGGGGCCTTTCTTTGAGGATATTCTGGTTCCCTCCTGGGCAAACAGGACAACTAAGAATTGGGTCTGGGGGCTCAGAAGGGAATAAAAGGCCTGACATGGCTATTTCATCTAGGATTTTTCATTCTCTGGAGACTGAGGAAGCTCCAGGCTGCTCTTGTCACACTTTGTACTACCCTCCTCGCCCCACCTCTCTCTCTCTCTCTCTAATATGTTTCAAGCCACCTGGAATTTTGTCCCAAACCCAGGCACTTATTCCACAAAGGTCTGGATTTTCAGGGTGTCAACCACCTCCGCAAAAGGAAGTGCTAGGTAGCCTGAGCACCCTGGAAGCATGCCCTCCTCATCCTGTCTCTCTTTTTTTTATTTTCAGTAGTACTGTGGGTTGAACACTTAGTGCTTCTTGTGCTCTACTGCTTAAGCCACACCTCCGGTCCATTTTTCCATTTTGCGCTGGTTATTTTGGAACTGGGGTCTCACAAACTATTTGCTTAGGCTGGCCTTGAACCTTGATCCTCCCAATCTCAGCCTCTCAATGATCTAGGCTTACAGGTGTAAGCCACAGGCACCCAGCTTATACTTCCTTCCTTCCTTCCTTCCTTCTTTCCTCCCTTCCTTTCTCTCTCTCTCTCTTCATGTACTAGGGCCTTGTATTGATTAGACAGGCCCTCCATCACTTGAGCCGTACCTTTTTTGCTTTTGTTATTTTTGAAATAGGGTTTCACATTTTTTTCCTGTTCAACCTGGACAGAGAGCCTTCTATGTATGCTTCCCATGTAGCTGGGATGATAGGTGTACACCACTATGCCCAGCTGTTTGTTAAGATGGGGTCTCAAGAACTTTTTGCCTAGGCTGGCCTCAAACCTTGATCCTCCCAATCCCTGCCTCCCAAGTAGCTAGGATTACTAGTATGCCTGGACTGTCTCCCATTTATTGGCATGCTCTGCATGGCTGGAGATACCCTCAGGGAAGGTATCCTGTGCTAGTTGTAGGCCTTCCCCTTCTATGGCCCAACAGCAGTGGCAGAAGGCCTGGCCAAACTCCAGAGTCCTGTCTAGTGAGCGCTGGATGATTCTGCTTTGTATAGCAGACATTTCCTGAGCCTTGCTTTGGGTCAGGCTTGGACCACTTGTGAACAAGACACAGAACCTTTTGCTCACGGAGCGCACCTTCTGCAGGGGCCTGGGTGGAAAAGAACATTTGGGGTTTTGGGGAAACCAAGGCCCAAGAGCTGAAGTGGCTTGTCTGAGACCTCTCTCTGGTCTCTCACCTTGGGGAGAAGGGGCAGTTGCCAAAGTACACATCAACCAGTGGGAAAGTCCAAGGTTGGGAACCTACATCAGAAAGGTCACTGCAGCCCTTTTATCTTCTGTTGTGTGGCCTGAAAAGAAGGGAGTCACATCCCTGACTCTCAGCAAGAGTAAATGTTAACTCTGCCCTATGGGGCTTCCGACTTCTGGAGGCTTCTCTCCTCCTTGGCCCCTCAGACGCCCTAGGACCTCAGCATTAGACGGCCAGGAGACACTGACATCACCTCACACACACCATACCCAGGGCCTTTGCAGTTCCTAACCCTGGAAGATGGCAGTGGGAAGGTCATGTACTTCCTCTTACCAGCCAGCTTTGTCCTGCCACAGGGGCTTTGTAAGCCTTCAAGTCCCCCTGCGATGCTCCCTAGATGCCCTGTCCTTCCTGATTTCTGACTTCTCACTGAAGGCAACCAGACCCAGAGGTATAGTTGTGTCAGGGGTTTGGGGGTAGTCCCAGGTCAACTCCAAACACGATGTGGCTAGAGGCAGCCTGTGCCCAGCTGAACATTGGGATGGTACCCATACATAACCAGGAGCCTTCCAGCCAGGTGCTAATGTGCCCAAGGACTCTCCCATGCCAGGCAGCAGGTTGGCAGGTATATCAGCAGGTTTCAGAGAACACCTGCCCCTTCTAGGCCCTGAGATGCTCCAGCCCATGTCAGGGAAGGCGGGCACCATATCAGAAGACCCAGAGACCGTCTATCCTGAGCTGCTCTGCTCCTTGCTCCCCCAGGATGGGCATCTGCTGGGATGGGCTGAGTGGTCACAGGCATGAGTGGAAGCCTGCAGCTAGCCTCTCATTGACAGCTGTGGTGGCCGGTCCCTCCAGTCTCTTCTTCATGTCATGCCACATGTGGGTCCCCTAGGATTCCAACCACCTGGGCTAGAAGAGCACAGTGCTTCCCCATGTCACATTGGGACGGGGCCCTACACCCTGAGAAGAAGGGGCCACCGGGACTAGGGGTAGGACCCAGCCCACAGTAGGCCTGGGAAGCACCTTTTAACGGAAACAGGAAGAGGAACTAGGCTGCCATTTGCAAACTCAGGAAGGAAGAATGCAGAAATGTGGTCTGTGTGGACTAGAAGAAGGGGCAGGGTGAGGGGAACCAGAAAACCAAGGAAATATTTGTTTACCAGACAGCCTGTTCTGACCAGAGCGTGTATGTGGGGCTGGAGGCCTCCCTGATGGAATGCTTAGTGCAGGGTGTCCCTCCAGACTTCCCATTCTGAGGGAGGACCTGCTTGGAACAGGGGGCATATTTACGTCTTACTCCCCATTAGGCCATCTTGTTTTTAATGTGCATGCAAATTGAAGGATGCGAATTATCTAGTTGATTTGTTAGAGTCACCACTCGCCCCAACCTCACCTTTAGTGAACCATCCAGAGCAGCACCCCTCCCTTGGAGGCCTGGAAGTGCCTGGCCTCCCCAGCATCCTGAGCTGGAGGCCTGTTGCAGACTAGGTGGGGTGGTCAAGAGGAAGGGCCAGGCAATGTGCTGTGCTGAGATGCCCCGGTTACGAAGGCTCCCGTTGCTGAGTTCCATCTCGGAAGCAGGCAGGGCTCATCTACCTGCCCAGCCTTTCCCCCAACTCCCTTGGGGCTCAGTGCCAACCCTGAGCTGCACCCTGCCCGCCCGTGCTGTGTGTCTGCATCTGCTCTCCACTGCCCTGGTCCGCAGTCACGCACCACACCACTGGCAGCATCTGCCTGCCTCCCCCTCCCCAGAAACATGACCATTTTGCTTCTCCATTCTGCCTCTCACTGTTGTTCCTTGTGGTGACAGTGGTGTCGGGATGGGGAGGCGCTCAGTGTTGTGCCTGTCTTTCAGCCCTTCCAAGGGTTCCATGTAGCCTGAGGCCCCTCCTCGCCTTCCCCTCCACAGCCTCCTTTGTTGACAGTTTTGGGGGAAGACTCTGTTTTTCTGCCCCCCAAAACCATTCAACTTTGTGAGAGGGCACCTTTGTTTGGGGGTTCGTTACTTCCCTGGTTTGTTTGGTTTTCATTTTCTCCAGGCATCTCGTCGCTGTGCCTCCGTCACCTCACCTTTCTTTTCTCCTGCTCTCTCCTCCTCCACAGATGCCCCACGCTGGCAGTTCTGACCAGCCCCATCCTCCATACAAGGTTTGCACGTACCACACCCCAGCAGCCAGTCAGGGCCTCCATTACATCACAGTGGGGCTCCTCCTCCTCCTCCTTCCCAGCCTCCCCGGCAGCCGCCACAGGCCGCTCCCAGCAACCATCCACACAGCGACCTGACCTTTAACCCCTCCTCAGCCTTAGAGGGTCAGGCCGGAGCACAGGGAGCGTCCGACATGCCGGAGCCTTCACTGGATGTAAGTTGGGGTCACCATGCACCTTGGCCTGGGGCCAGGCTTGGCACCAGGACCTGCCCGAGAGAAGGGGAGGGTGCTGAGGGCTCAAGGCCACGGGTGGAAAGGTGGGTGGGTGGTGGGTGGGCCCCAGCCAGCCTCTCATGGCTCCAGAACCAGGAAGCTCCATCATGGGAAAGTGTCACTGAGGGCCCCATCCCTACCCTGCCAATCCCTCTCCCCCCAGTACCTTGGCCACAATCCTATTCCCTAGTTCTGCCCACTTTCCACCCAGGCCCATGCAGAGTCCCTCCAGGCTAGGGCTTTGGAGCCAGCGCAGGAGGGTCCCTGCCCTTCTTCACCCCTACACCCCCCTCCACCCCATGTTGAGCTTGCTATGTCTGTGTCTCCTTTTCTCTGGCCCTAGGCAAGGGAGGGGCTGGACTATCAAGGCCACTCTTGTCCATCTTGCTGGTCTTGTCTGTCTGCAGTTTTTCTGTCCGCGTGTTGTCCATTCCCTGCTTCCGCTTGCTCCATTGCTCACTCCAAGAAGCCCCTGTGTGGGGTGGCAAAAAATCGGGGGCAGCAGGATCAACTTCAGGGCACAATCAAGGGCAGCAGGTCACAGTGGGCAACTGAGGTTCATACCTTGAAACCTCGATGGTCGGAAATGTGGGGGCCACAGAATGATTAAGCCTAGACAGCTGGACAGGGCTGGCTGGAATGGGACCAGCCACTTCCCCTCTGATCTCCACGGTGGGAGATGGGGGCTATAGCCAGCCCATGTACTTCTAGGTGCTAGATTCCCAGAGGAGGCCTGTTACAGTCCTCAGCCACTCTTGCCCTCTACCTCCCAACCGCACTCTGTGACCCCACCCTAGCAGTATCAGGTCTCATGATAGGGGGTACTCACTGCACAGCTGTCTTGGTTCTCACACAACTCTCTGCCCCCTGGCCAGGCCAGTGGGACACTGTTAGATTAATGAGAACCCCTGTGTGACGTAAAGATTCTAAGGGAATCACTATAGGGGATAGGGGACAGTGGGCCACGAGGACAGAGTGTACGGCTGGCCAGTCACGGCGTCCCTGGGAACGCTGAGAAGAGGGAGGCAGTGAGCACTCACTGTAGGGGCCACCCGGCCTTCCCACAACTCTCTCCTGTGCTCATGTGTGAAGCCATGTGACTTTTGCTGGGAGGCTGTATGGTCTGCACCTCCTCATAGCAGGGTCTGAGAGGGCAGAGGAGCACTTGGCCAGGAGGAAGCCCTTTGGCCCACCACTGGGCCTTCCCAGTTTGTGAACCTGATGCTGGCACCTGGGAAGGCTCAGCCTAGTTGAGGTCTCCGTGGGAGGGCTGAGGGCGCTGGGTGTGCCTGCCCCTGCTAAGGTGAAGTGGCCCTGATGGGTGTGGACATAGTCTTCAGGCTATGATCCAGGAGGTAGGCAGGAGGGCCGCGAGCAGGCCAGCGGAAGCCCTTGTTCCTCCCCTGGACCATCTCTCAGCCGACGTCTCACCTGGACTTTTTACTTCCTCTTTTCCAGCTCCTGCCAGAACTAACAAATCCTGACGAGCTCCTCTCTTACCTGGACCCTCCCGACCTTCCGAGCAATAGCAATGATGACCTCCTATCTCTCTTTGAGAACAACTGAAGGCTACCCTTCATTGGGGCCATCCCTTCCCACTCTGCCTCCTGCCCCGTCTGTCCCACACACTTTTCCTCCCTCCTGGGAGCCCGTGCTCAGGCCACCTGTTGCCAGGACTACAGGCTGGGGTGCAGGCAGGATGTACCAGGAAGGCCTTGTGAGGCTTCAGCCTCGTACACCTGAACGCCCTGGGCTGGGGCCCATGCTAGAGCAGGCCCAAGACGACCCCCGCTGAGGGGGGGCCTGGCCCAGCTGAGACACAGGCTGATGGCGGCTTCAGCTCCCTCTGTGTGTGCTGACTCCAGATAATGTTCCAGTGCAGTGCCCCCAAAGTTCTTCCATTTTCTGAACTGTAGCCCTGCTTTCCTGCTTCCTGGCCCAAGTATCCTTCAAGTGACTGGAGCCTGAGAGAGAGAGTACCCAGAGACTGGTGTGGGGACAAGCCTTGGAAGGGCAATGACAGTTGGCAGCAGAGAGTATGCCCTACCTGCCACCGCCCACCACAGAGAAGCACAAACCTCTGGGAAGGAGAACAACTCTCAGGGCCAGAGTTCATCACTTTGACCTCTGACCTCTAAGCCAAGAAGCCCTGTACACATTCAGAAAACAAGAGACAAATGTTGCTTTGTCTGAGAGGAGCTGCCATTCCTGCTTGAGGTTGGAAAGGGGACAAGGGCCTCCCTGGAGCCAGGACAATATATTGCAGGGCTCCATGACCTTGGACTCAGACCACGCCCCTTAAGGGACAGGGAGAGAAAGCACTCGAGAGCATGCGTGAGTGTGTACCCAACCAAAAGGGTTGTACTCTCCGTTGGAGGCCGTGGGAGGATATTGGACAGTCAAACAAGCAGCCCCTTGCAACTTTGCTATAAGCCACTCTCTGCTTTCAATCAGTGACTGTGGAAGGCTCTGAAGTCACCTGGAGGAAAGGAACACTGGACTTGGACCGCAAGCAAGCCACTTCCCTCTTGTGTTCTGTCTCCTCCTGCCCCACCTGCCTCGCCAAGATTTTCCATGGGACATCACTTCCTTCTGGTCCTAGTCCTGGTTTGTCTAGCCAGTGGCAGGGTGCACGGTGGAGAAGCAGGGCAGGTACAGGGGCAGCTCAGACAGAAAGAAGCCTGGGACTGGACGGCAGGAGCCCAGCATATCAGTGTCTCTCTCAGCCTCTTGGTCTGTCTCTGCATTCAAGGCCACCTCTGGCTTCAGCCAATACCATCACCGCTGCATGCACCAGGATGTCCTGTGGGCATTTCTGTGCTGCCAGCCGCCCCTCTGCATCCGTCCTCCACTAAAGCTCACCCCACACTCCTACTCGCTTGGCAAGAACAGCCTCTGCTGTTCCTTCACTGCTTCACTCCATCTGCTTAGGGGTCCCCAGGGGGCTTGTCATGCATCCACTTTGTTACAGGCTGGTCGATGTCCCTTAGTCGCTTGGCCTATGGTGACGCTGGATTGTCCCGTCATTTGGGTCCCATCTGTAAATTCTTTGCACCCTTTCCTGCTGCTTCCACCCAGGGCCCTTCTCTGCCCTCCTGTCCACTGTCAGGGTCCTTAGTGGCTGTCAGCCTCCCCATATCCCTTTGTTCAGTGGGTGTTCCCCAGCACTCTCTGTGGATTGTACTGGAAAGGTGGCCCCAGCTGTTGACTTGCAGTCACCATACCAAACGGCACAAGGTTTTCTGTAGGAAAGCTGCCATTGTCCCCACTCCTTTTCTTCCTTTGTCCCTTTGTCGAGGTTTTTTCAAATAGCGTGTTGTTCAGTATGCAAATCAATTATTTTAAGAATCGCTTTTGTAAATATCTTTGTGAATATTTTAGTATCGTCTTTGATAATATTCAACATTTTCATGACCTGGTTAATAGCCTTTGCTGGTGTTTTTAAAATACCTTGACTCAATAACAAAAACCGAGTCTTTTTTTTAAAAAAACAAACAAACAAACAAAAACAAAAAAGCAACCAGGGCTCTTTGTACAGATGAGGGATGAACAGAATGGGTGGCTATACTGGGAGTGGAAGACCAGGAAGCCTACTGTTGAGGTCCATGCCCAGTCAGGTTGGGGGACAAGATGACACCAGGGACAATGTAGCTGTCTTGGCCCGGTGCCTGTGGCCTGGCAGGCATAGGGCCACACTCTGCTTTGAACCATCTGGAATGTTCAGCTTCAGACAGACTGACAGATGCCTTCCTTAGAAGTTCCTGCTTCCTGCAGTGATACTGTGCCCCGCAAAGGCCTGGGGTCCCTGCTGCTTGTCACAATGTACCCAGGTTCTGCTCACAGGCTGATCTGCACTTTTCTAGTGCAAAGGGTCTACATGCACCCTGAAGCCTGGCTCCAGGCCCTTCTTGCCATCTTGGGCTGGCACCTGAGGCTGATTTTCTGGGTTCCCCCATGCAAGCCTCCACCAGCAAGTTCACAGAGCTGTCCTCCAGCCAGCTGTGACTGTGGTGCCTGAGCCCATGCTCTGGGAACATCCCCTTCCAGAGTATTTCCACAGTTAATCCAGGGTGTGAGGGAGTGCAAAGATGTGGGGCTGGAGCCATCCCGGAGAAGTGACAGGTGCAGCTAAAAGCAACATCTATAAGCAGAGGCAGGCCTGCACTCTGGACAGACACTTCCCTGGTTCTTTCAGACAACAACTTGGAGCCATAAGTAACCTCAGCAAAAATGAGGTCTCAACAAGCCACTTTCCCATGACAAACATCCACCCACCCATTGGCATGTTTCTGCCACCACTCCCCAAGATGAGCTGGAAGCCAGTGGGGCAGGCTGGCAGGGCCCCAAACAGACAGTTGTCCCCATCTTCTTGGTTTGAAGCTTTATTCATGTATCATGTTCCTCTGTAGCCATTTTATTTTTTAAGAAACTTCTAATACTTTCTCCCTAATGAAAGTCCTAACCCCCAGAGAGCTACAGGTCTGCTGCTGACGGGCCTCGGGCCTGACCCGTCCAGACAGGGCAATGTGAGCAGCAGCGACTCCAGGGACGTGTGTACATATGTAAATGAGAAATAGACATGTCAACAGATGCATTCATTTCTCTTGGAATGTGTATTGTTTTTATTTTACAAAACAAAACAACAAGGCTTGGAACTCCATCTTGCGTGGGAAAACTAGATCCTGTTTGTTAGCGTTTGTGAGTTCACATTTGTCTCACTCATGTAATATACTCTGACCCTGTGTGGCAAAGCATTTTGGTTCTGTTTTGTTTTTCTTTTACCTACATGTACTATTTAGCTTCAGTGTGCTAGTTCAGCCACCTGTGTATTTTTAGGGTGCTATGGAAATAATGAAAAGAAACGGGGATTTCAGAAGAAAATTGTAACCAAATCCATACTTTGTATAATTTTTGATATCATGATCACAGGTGATTCACATGACCACACATCAACACACCCACAAGTGCAGCCTGAAGTGACTCCCACTGAAACCGCCATCGTCTTTGTACATCGTATGTACAATGCAGTCATTTCATACTTTAAACTGGTCAGAAAACTAATTGTGATTTCTAGTCTTGCAAAGCTGTATGTAGTTAGCTGATGTGACCTCTAATATTTATCTAATAAATATGTATTCAGATGAAACCTGTATATTAGGTGTTCATGTGGTTATTTTGTATTTAAAGATCAAATTATTTGACTATTGCTAGACATTTCTATACTCTGTTGTAACACTGAGGTATCTCATTTGCCCATGTTAATTTTTTTCTAAATAAATGGACAAAAACGAAGGTTCTGGTGAATTAGCTGTTTTGTGGATGTTAAGGAGTGGTCTGGGCGTTTTTGCTTTTGTTTTTAAAACTACCATCCCTGTCTTGTCACTGCACTCACACACATAAAAAATAAAACAGTGGGGGGAGTGGTTGGCACCGGTGGGAGGGGGGAGGTGGCAGGGAAAGGGGTAGGAGGATGAATATGGAGCAAACAATGAATACACATGTATATAAATGCAAAAATGATACCTGTTGAAACTTCCAGGAATTGGGGAGGGGGGGATGAAAGCAGTGGAGGGGGTGAATTCAAGTATGATATATTTGATACATTGTAATAACCTTTGTAAATGCTACCGTGTACCCCCACCCAGCACAACAATTAAAAAAAGAAAGAATGAAAAAGAAAAAGACCAATAAACACTATTGATTGAAAAAAAAAAAAACAAACAGTAGAGTGGCTTGGGGCACTGACATGAATGAATCCTACCCCTCATGTGTCACTCACCTGGGACAGGTGGGTATTCAGAGCCCCATGCTCTCACCTGATGGGACCCTGTCTTCAACAGACCCTGCTTCCAACTATGGAACAGGTGTGTGGAGCAGGTAGAGTAAGTGTGGCTGGATGCTGGGGACTCAGGCTACATGTGACTAAGAGTGTCTAATGGTGACTAGTAGTTGCTTGCAGATTAAGAAGCAGGAATGTCTTCGTGTTAAATCACAGAGGGCCTGGCCAAAGCATTCCTGAGTGAAGAAGTAGAGGCACAGCCAGCTTCACAAAAAGTGGCGTGTCAGCAGCTGCTCCATGCAGGCTGCTCCTTCCCAGCTCTGTGTGACCACCTGTTTTTCAGCACACCTGCTCCACTCTCTTGTAACGACAGCTTGGGTTTCTCTTCAGATTCCATCTCCACTGGCCATACCCCAGCCATAGTTCTAACTAGCCTTACAGCCTAAGCACCCAGCAGATTGGGTCTTTGTGTCTCTAAGTTTTGGGGAAGTGAATCTGATTGACAGAGCCCAATGGCCCCTTACTGCCCTTCCTCCACTCAGTCTGACCACTGAGGAATAGGAAGAAATAAACATGGCCTTCCCCCAGAAGGGGCTGTCCACAGGCAGAAGTTGGGGCTGGGCAGGAATCCAAAGTATATCCACTAATGGGAATCAAATGTGTGGGGATGTGGTTCGGGAAAGGGCACAGGCCTGAGTGGGGATGTGAATGTGTAGAAGTCAGTCAGGCTGAGGCCCAGGGGGACTCCTATGGGGGTCTGGATGCTTGGAAGTCCTTACCTCTGGCCCAGTGCTCAGTTTCTCTTTTTTGGTGGAAGACAAAGGAAAAGAGATAAGAAGGGTTTACATTAAAAGTGGAATCCTGGCTGGAGGTGTGGCTCATGTGGAAGAGCACTTGCCTGGTAAGCACAAGGCCCTAAGTTCAAAACACCATACAGTCAAAAAAAGAAAAAATAAATAAACAGAGTCCTGATCACTGCAGAGCTGGCAGACACTGGCCTCTGCCAGCCTCACAGGCAGCATTGGCCTCAACTGTCCGAGAGGGGGCATAGGTCAGCATCAGGGAGCTTCCCAGAGAAGTGGCCCTGTTCCCATTGCCTTAGAGCAGTGACCGCATCAGAGCGCTGTGAAATCCGTGGGTGATGTGTGACCATACTTTTTAGTGAACCAGATGAATGTAAAGTTGAAACTATCAGGAGTGTACTCTACAGAGCAAGGCAACATTCAGGTTGAGGGGTGGCAGCAGGTACACGCATGCTGAGTCACGGTGTTAGTTCTTACTTGTGGGTTTTGGTTACAAACAAGGTTTGGATGTCCTTACCTTAAAAGTGGGAAGTGGGGACCAGGAGGAAAGATAGTTTACTACCCTAACTTCATGACATTTCTGCTTAACACCCTGAAAACAAGGATACAACCAAATGTAGACCTGTGACTGCCCCAAGGCCTTATGGGAACCTGCAGCCCCCCTCCCAGTTCACTCCTCCTGAGATGGGTTCCTTCACTCTGTGGTGAGAAATGTAAACCAAATAGCCCAATGGAGGGCCTGGCTCACAGCAGTTAGGGCTCGGCCTCCCCTATGCCCATCTCCTCAAATCTGGCCACATGTCAGGAGTCATCTTGAGTCTCTGTTCTCCCTCCAGCCCACCTTGCAAAGCCTCTACATCAGGCCATAGGGTACTATTGGAAGTCATTCAGCCCTACAGGTGCTGCAGGACCCACTGGGGTCACCAGCCTCACTGAGCCCTCAAGGAACCCATCTAGCCTTTAGCAGTCTCCCCTCCCTCTAATCCACCCATTCTCTTGGGGTCTTCTCCTGCCTCTTACTCAAACATGCCCACCTTGCTCTCAGCAGGCACCACCCCATACCTACTAGCTGTCCATTCAACCCACAGACTCAATTCTATCCCCAAGCCACATCTTTCTCACCCAGGCGCAGAGGGTGTGGCATCACTCTCAGAGGGCCAGCCCACCCCTGGCCTCTGACATCAGCACCTTCTTCTCTTCCATGAAGGACCTCACTCCATCAGCTGCCCCTTTCCCATGCCTTCTGTCTCCCCCAAGGTCCAACCCTCAGCTCTGGCCTTGTTAAGTTTACCCTGGGTTCACACCATCTCTGCCTGTCAGTGCTCTCTGTTCCTCAGACAGGCTCCTTGGGTGACCAGCCCAGGAATAGGGCCTGGCTCACTCTTTCCTCAATAGACCTGGACCACTGACTGACTGGTCCATGCCCCACCCCTTAGGACTTCCAATGCCGCTTCTGGAGGCTGGACCTCACAACCGCACTTCATCAGTTTCTGTGTCTTTCTGGAAACACTCTTCCCTTCTCTGGGATTCCAGGATGACATCTCTTTGGTTCTTCTGGTCTCTTCCAGAGCCTTCTGTCTTCTCACAGTCCCTGAAGTAACCCGGTACTGTGGTGCCCTGGGAAGACCTTTACCGCTGGCCTACCCATCCTCAGCTGCTGTGAGGGATGGCTGCCAGCAGGAAGTAGGTGGCAGCAGCCCACCAGTTTCCCCCTTCACCAGAGAATTCCCCTCAGGAAGCTCTTGCTGAGAGGTCACTGCCATCCACACCACCACATGCACCCTGGCTGGGCAGCCCACAGCCAGGGACTAATAGCTGCAAACAGGAACAAAAGGGCAACTTCTCTGCCGGGGGGACCTTCCTGGAGGCCTATGCCTGCTCCACTTTCCTCTTCCTTCTCTGCCTCCCTTCCTCAAAGGTCTCTCCTAAGTGCCCTCCCTCAACAGATCATGGCCACCTGTGGGCCTGTGTAGTGTAGGTTATGTCACCTTGCCATCCACTTAGAATATAAGTTGGACTCATCTCAGAAGGAGAACCAGTCACTCCTGAAACCATTTCTAGTTCTTTGCCTCCTCTTAACTACTCTGTGTGTCCAGGTATCAGTCTTATACCTCCTACTGACCTCTCCCCTAGGAGACAGCTAGATACGGCCTGCTTGCCTGGTCCTGCCCACCCCACACCTCTCAGCTGTGCCAGTGTGACCTGGAGCTTGCACCTACTTGCTTTAACCCATCTATTAGAAACACCTCAGGAAACCCGTTTGGATAACGCCCTGGACCCAATGAAGATGTGGCTCACAAGTCTCTCTCTCCCTCCCCATGCTCTCCCTGGCCTCCATGTACATGTGGCCTCCATGCATGGCATTTACCCTCCTAGGACATGTAATTAATGCCACTTTTACTTCCCTCTGTGTCTCTTAATCATTTAAAGATCCTAAATTTAAAACACCTGTCTCACCTTAGCTTGTAAGGAACTAGACCTCAGACACTGGTGCTGGGAGTGGGCTTGGGAGGCAAGCTTGGAGGGTAAGTTACTGTAGATAGACCACCGACTCAGTGGCAACGATGATCCAACAGTGGTGGCAGGTAGACAGGGACAGTCCCAGTCACGGGGTTGCAGGATGTCACCTGCAGTGAACTGGGATGGGATGCAGGACGTGACTGTCTCTGCTGGTGCTATGTCTCTGGAATTTTAGAAGTAGGGGAAAGAGTGATTGTATGAACCATGGAACTGGGTGACTATTGCAGAGTGTCAGTGATGCACTAAAGAAAGGAAATTACAGTTGCACATCTCTTCATGGACAATTTAAAACAAAGTGGCAGGGTCAGAGGATAGCTCTTGGCAGGAAGCATTGAAAATATGTACCTTCTGCAGACAGAGGACAGACAGAGCAACAATCAGGTGGAGGATTTCATTGTAAGAGTGGAGAAAGGTCAGAAAGGGCTGTGTTCTCAGGCCCCTAGTTAGAAGGTAATGAGACTCACAGTCTTGAAGTAGGGACTGTTGCAACAATGCTTCTCCCTTGTCACACAAAGTATTTATAATCCCAGGTGACAGAGGAGCTTGGCTCACAGATGGACCAACTTGGTGTATAGGTGCCAGTCAAAAGTGGACTGCACCTGCATCCAAGCTCACCAAAAGTGGCCCTGAAAGACTGTGGTGAAAGGAAATCCCTTCACCAGGCCAGTGGGCAGTGCATCTGCTCATTTTCATGCCAAGAGAGGTGATTCAAGTAAGGACACACTTGTACTTGTGGGCGGTAGCAAATGGCCTAGCTATCAGTCAGAGGTGTGGAAAGAGCAAGAATGGACTATCAGAGACAAGGAGGACTGAGAAGGAGACATGTGAGCCTCTGGGCTCACACATGACATTTTAACCTGCTGTACAGTGCAGCCATTGCAGAAGGGCCATGAAACAAGCCAGGGGGCAGTCTCTGTCCTTACCCCTCACCCTCCATGTAGTGCTTGTACAATATGGGCTCATGGAGACATGACAAACCTAAACAATACTATGAAAGCCTGGGATCCCTCTCACCAAGGTTGATCTAGCTAATGCTACTGCTGAATGTCC